ATCAATTCCATTAGATTCATAATGTGTGGATGTTAAATACAGAGGTTCGAAATCCTACGAATTGCATCGCTAATAATATCTCTTGAATTTGTGGGATGTAAAGATGAATTGTATGTAGGTTTTCTCAATACTAATTCTTGAATACCTACCAATTAAGATACTATTACCCCTTTTTTTTCTTCTCCTATTTAGCAAGGCCTATATATGGAAAAATAATTTTGAATAGGACCATTTTAGAATCTCAGCGTATGGATGGGCCAACGTTGCTCCCCACATACGGCAGCAACCAAAGGCAAAGTGGTTCCCCATGTTCACAAGGCCTGGTGGATGGTTCGTACGGCCACCACCATAAATCATAATCCCCACACCAACCCTCAAATATTTCTGAATTTTTTATTTTTATTTTTAAATTTTTTGTAAAATTCAAATATATTTATAAATATTCGAAGGGTACGGAGGTTTGCTGTAGTTGAAATGAGGACCGCTCGTCGTGATGCTGCTGCGTGATGATGCCCATTCTGACTGCAAAGCTATGATGACTGCTCAGCTTCATGCCGACATCTTTAAAGATCAATAGATACAGTGGCTTTGAGTGGCATAAGGAGAGAATCATTCTTATGGGATCCAACCGCATGGTCCACATCATCACCAATCTATTGCCACGTGGCTACACACGTAATTTGATGAGTTGATGAGCTACTAGTCGATGGAGAATTATAGTTACTGGATGTCGGTGTTACTAGCGAGTTTATCTATTCTGTAGTATGGGTGGATACAAGGTCTAAAGTATCAATAGTCTAAAAATATGAAAATTTTAATAGAAATATCAGAATATTATTGATATCGATAAAAATTAAATTAAAATTAAAATTATATAAATTTTAAGAAAAATTTGAAAAAAAATTCATGAAACTTTGGAGGATGTTTATTTAGTCAATTATCTATTACTTTATCACAAAAAAATTGGAAGGAAATGCATTCCATGATAGGTTTAATTGATTTAAGTTGATTATATAGCGAGCTGACAAATACTGCGAGTGTAGAAAATATGTAGTAATTGATGAAAGAATATTAAACACACCGTAATTATTTATTTATAATGATTTACTATAATATTTTACACTTTATACATTGCATGATAAGACACAAAGAGTTCCTATAAAGTTCAAATTTGAGTTATTTACACTAACATCTCTTGATGTTTTTGGTTTTTTTTTTCACAAAACTCCTTGAGATTTTGGAAATTACAAGAACACCTCTTGAGGTTGTAAATTGTTTTCACAAAACTCATGTTTATTGATTTTTCATCCAAAGATTAATTATTTTATACAAAAAAAATTCTCCAAAGGACAAAGTTGGCCTTTGAGATTAGATTGCGTATACTTCATTGAGGTTAATTTTGTCATTTGTATAAGTTTTTTTTTTTCAATGAAATCATCAATTTTTGGACAAACAATCAAAGAAAAGGGGTTTTGTGAAAACAAACTGAAACCTCAAGGGGGTGTTCATGTAATTTTTTAAACTTGATGGGGTTTTGTGAAAACATAAGAAATCTCAGGGGGTATTAGTAAAAATAAATCTTCAAAATTTTCATTGTCTTCATCATCTTGATATTATAGATATTATAGCAATATTTTGACCAAATATTGCTGAATTGTGAGAGAAATTATAGACGTCGATATTTTCCGATATTATCGATATATATATATACGATATGTGTATGGATACGTTATCCATGACTTGAAAAAATGATAATATCATCGATGTTTTGTCGATATTATCGATATTTTAGACTATGGGTAGATGACATGGTTAATATATTAGGATCTAAGCTATAGTACTAATCAATAAATACACGTGTTATAATATGGGTGGACTGGTAACAATATATGGTCATGTGACAGAGATACTAAAAAATTATTTGTGGTTGAATATGAAAAAATCTTGAAGTCACACTGTTGCATGGTATTATTAATAAAAATATCTAATAAGAGTGAATTTCAATGTAACTGTCATATCTCCACGTAGTGTTATTAATTTACTAATTTTATAATATATATTTTATTCATTAATATTATACTCTAAATCCATAAAATATAAATCATATTATTTACCCATACTATAACACTTAAATTAACAATATAACTTAACGGAATGACAACCACACTGAAAAATTTATAAGTAAAAGTGTTATTCCCATTTTATATATCATGGGCCCATTGTTTGCACGAGTTGCCTTCCCTCCTGGTTCCTAGGTAAATTAGGGACCCTATAAGCAAAACCCACCTCACTGATTCTGTTTGCCAATCAAGCTTCTAAAGCTTCTCGCATGAATTAATATATGGCCTTCTGATCAGTGTTGTTCATCATGTCTCTTTAAGCACTCCCAATTAGAGCCATTTTTTTTTTGTCGGCGTGAGATTATAAGTCTATCTCCACTCCACTTAAGCCCACTTACTGCATCACATACATGTCTAAAATCAAAATTTCAAAGTATAATAAATCATATATTGGGTATATTTATTATAGTTCATAGCATATTTGAATATAAGTTAGATTAATTGATCGGGATAATGTGTCTTTTTCTTACATTCGAGTTCGAATCTTTCTCCTTCTATAGCATGGACCTCGGCAAGCCCAAAGTTCAACTACATAAGTCCATCAAGCAGGGACGTAGCCAACCTACAAGGTTGAGATGGGTTTGTTTGAAGAGTTGGGCTGGCAATGGCACCAAAATGCAACCACTGATCGCACTTCCAAGTGGGCCCCGATAGTGCAACCAGGGGATGTGCAACAAGGGGAAAAGAGAAAAGTAAAAGGCCGAAATAAAAATACTGGACTTTTTTTTGAACATTTCAATTCATGTTTTTTTGGTAAATTAAATTTATTTTTAGGAAGGTAATTTCGGTCTAGTGGAATTCAGCCCCTATTTTGTTGGTAAACTTTAAGTTCAAGTTTCTTTGGTGACATTGTTGGATAAGAAAACGAAGTGAGTAATTAAAAGAAAAGTTTTCGTTGTCATCCTCTTTGGGGTTGGTGGCCTACATCCCTCTCCTCCCCCTCCTTCCCTTCCCTCATTACCTAACTAGACCTTCCTTTTCCCTCTCCACTTCCTCTCCAACGCCTTCATTTTGGCTGAGTTTGGTGGCTGTTTGGTTGTCTTGGTGACGACGTGGTGGTAGATCAGGTTATTTTTACTTGTTTTGTGAGTTGTAATAATAAATGCATCAACTCCTTTTGAGTTTATTGCATATTTATAGTCTCTGCTTGTATTTTATACTTGTGAGAGTTAGAAGGTCATGTTTGTAGTTTGGTTGTATGAGGTAAGCCTCATCATTTGGCCCGCGGGCTCATGGGCCGATGGA